GTTTTTGTAGGGCATACATAATGCAGCGTGGCCAGAGTACGCTCTCCTACAATAAGGAAATGTCAAATCAGTGTTAGCATTCTGTGCATAATGCTCAGGGGGATCTTCACAAACAGTGCTTGTGCCAGAACTGTCAGTGTTCTCAGCAGGCTGCATTCCATATGTAGATTTTGTACCCAAAACACCAGGTGCAAAGTACTGAACACGATTCACAGAAGAACTTGGATGGCTTGTTTGCCTGCTGGAAGTATTGGGGACTTCAGTCTTTCCAGTTTCTGTCTCAGAGTCTGAATCATCATAAGCAACCAGTGACGAACTCATTATGGCTAGACACAGCAGACTCCAAAAATTTCAGTGAGGGAATCCTCCAAAGTGATGATCTACAATAAAGAATCGATTATTCAGAGCACAATTTATTACGAAGTCTATAATCTGAGTAACTTAAGGATATAAATATGCTTTTCTTAAAAAAAAAAAATCCATAACTTTTATTCCTGTTTATTAATGGATTTTATTCCTCTATTACAACACATCTGTACATTTAATTATGCAACACCATTTGCCTCCAAGCACTTTGCGTACATTTTTAATGCACTGCAGAGATGTATTAGCATACCACAAAACAATGAAAATGAGCATGAAAAGTAAAACAAACTCGCAACAAAAGTACTGCAAATCCCTTTAACCTTACTTGCAGTAGCATTTCCCCACACACACACAAAAGAAGGCAATTAATTATCCATTGGATTGGTACATACATTTATAAGAATACAAATACTACAACTATTTTGGAGTCAGTCTAATAACATGTTTTTCTTAATGGTACAGATGACTTGAAAGCAGTGTGAAGAGGTTCAACCGGCAACTAAAGAAGTCAATATATTTTTTACCACTTGAGCAGTCTTGCAGTATGAGGAAAATTTCCAACTGTATCCACAGAGCAAGTTCCACATAGCCTTTAGTTATACAGAACAGACTTATGCCAGAAGCTAGACCGAATTCACTGTTTGCATTTACTTACAGAAGAATAAGAGCACTGTTTGCTGTGGAATACTTTTTCGAAGTGTCTGCGAGAAAGAAATCTCACACTGAGACTACATATGTAACATGCTGTATAACTCACCACCGTAACAGTCCCACCAAGCTTCTTCCAAAAATTTGGACAGAGCATGTGGAGTACAGGGTTGGCTACATTCAAACAACTGATGTGTCTGCAAAAATAATCTTTCAATTTCTGCTGTTTATAGTCAAAAAGTACCGCTGTCCTTCAATTGCTAAGACTGATTAAATGGCACTTTTCACTACCGCTTTGTTTCCTTGCCCAGCTGTTTGCACTCATCATGCTAAACCCACACCACTTTCAGATCAGCTGCTGAAATTCTTTTCTGAGGTCAGTGAAGAAGCTACCCTCAAAAGCATTTTGATTAAAATGAGAACGCTGCACAAAAGTCAGTATCTATGCGAGCATTTGCAGAATTGATGCCACAAATGCAGGTCCTACAAACACTAGTGTGGGACTACTACACTGGAACATGTAAAGATTACTCATTTAACTTCAGAACTAGATCTATTTGAATTTTAAGTAAGCATGTTTCATTTAATCTACAGAAGTGTTACATTACAGACTATGGTCTGTCTTCTGTAACGAAACATCCAAGCACAGATCTGGAAGACAGGTTCCTATTAAGACATAGACACTCATCACCACAGATCCCTTCCAAGATAAGTGATCAAGAGCTTTAACTGGAACAAGGTGACTAACATTTTAGCACATAAAAGCATTAAGATCTCCCTCTAGAGGACATTTGTCTTTATCTGAAGTTTGTGACAGCTACAAGTGACAATAACGAAGAGCAAGGAAAAAAATCTGGTTTTCATAATACAGCTTCATTTATTAAAACAGTATTTCACCTAAATATCATCAAGAAAAAAAATAACTAGTATTTCAGGAAAACTTAACTAACAGTTTAATTCAAAAACAGTAAATCGACATTTTTAGCAGTAAACTGAAACCTCTTCTCAAATAAATAGTAACTTTACAGGACTGCACTTCAATAACTGCAACAAGTGGTTATTATTTGTATTGCAGTGCTGAAAACAGGCCCCAGACAAAATGCATCATGTTCAAAGAACCAGTACAGTAAGAAGTTGAACTCTGGCTGAAAGGTATAAATAAAAGCTATAAAGGTATAAATAACAAGGTATAAACACAAGAAAACCTTATATAAACACCAGGAAGTCTTTTATACCTTATAAAAGGTATAAACACAAGCGGATTAGGTTAGATTTTCAAAGTTACTTTACCTTCTTTCAACACAAAAAAAACTTAAGCTGATATTGGGAGATAAGTGCAAGATAATGCCTTGCACACACCAGGTTAAAATAAATTCCTTCGGAATATTGCAAAGAAATTTTCCCATTGCATCTGGTCAGCATAAATCCATCCCATCACACACACCGCCCATATGCCTTAACATTTCTGCAAAAACAAAGTAAAAAGCCATCTTAGGACTTCCCATTCTACTTCTGGTTCTAGAGAAACACCACCCCGAAGTTTCTAATGCCGCCCTCGCTGAAGAAAAACGGAGGGGCAAGACCCCCCAGCGCACGTCCCTGGACACCAGCTGTACCCAGAGGCGGCGGTTTCCCGACGACACCGCTTACAGCGCGCTGAGCTAACAGGGACGCCCACGTAGC